TATATATATATATATTCAATATTCATTAACACTATTTTGCCATTTGCTTTGAATCTTCTTTAAAACAATTTTCTGGCCAAGCAATGGGGATGCGCTCAAGAAAGGTGGCCCAAAAAGAGTGCCAAGTTTCTGCGTAAAATCTAGACCCTTGTAGTCGGCATTGCTTTTGGCAATGCCGACTACAAGGGTCTAAATGTGGACAGACTGGTCATCGAACACATCCAGCTCAACAGAACACTCAAGTTGAAGAGAAGAACTTACAGAGTCCATAGACGCACCAACCTTTGTTCCACCATCTGCTGTGCGTGGTTCTCTATTCGGTATATTCGCCTTCGTCGGCTAACGATCATCAACTATATACTGTACTTCACAATGGATTTGAATATTACACCAAAATAATATTGACACCATTGTTGTATGTAGTTTCAATTTGTCACATTCAGTTTTTAATCTATCGTTTTTCTTTTTATAAACATTGTATTCTTATTTCCTAATTTAATTTCTTAAAATGTTTGATTTTTTAAAACTGTTTTCGCCCTGTGGGCACTAAGAGGAAATTTTTAGCAAGCCCATTACGGGTTCTGCCAGACACATAATGGGGTGGTGAGGTCAGGCCCAAAGGATCACTTTCCGAATAATTCCCTCGGTTTTATTTTTTTATCTGTCCAGATTATATTTAATCTAGACAGATTAAAAAAAAACAAAACCCAGGGAATTATTCCGGGTCCCAGAGGGGTTTAACGCTATCCTAACCGTCAGGCTATCCGGCCGTTTCAACATGGAGGGTGTCTAAATATTGTTGACAAAATATGAAAGAGGAGATGGTCAAAAAGGACTTAAGTGATGGAAGTCATTCAAATATAATGAGGTGAAATTTTTTTTTTAACTTTTTCTGCCCTGTGGGAACAAAGAGGGCCTCTTTTTGCAAGCCATTATGGGTTCGGCCAGGCCCACAATGGGGCTGCCGATGGTGAGGAGCGGGGCCCGACATATCCGAACGGACCACCCCTGAAAAATTCTTAGGGATTTTTCGATCCGTTCGGATTCGAACCCGGGTATCCCAGAGCGGTAGGCTGCCACCTTGACCGCTCGGCCATACGGCCAGATGAGGTGACATTATATTTGAATGACTCTTATCTAGTAATAGACATCAATCTTTCTATTACATTTATACATGTTTTAATTAACAACGCTAAAATATAAAGGTGACTGAATATTACAGTTAATAAATTGTTAAATGTTAATTCAAATTTCTTTTTAGATTTNGTTATCAATATGTACAGTGTAATGTTTCACTGTATGTTGTACCTTGTTTTGAGATATATCACACAAATTAATTTTTAAAATAAAATTTTTTGTTTTTTGCATTCCCTAATATGTCTATTTTGTGTTAAGAAATATAAAGTAATTCGGAATAATATGATAGCCACAATTATTATTTTTCTAAAACATGTGATCGCATTAGGCTTAACATCAAAAAATATTCAATGTGGAGCGACACACGACGGAGAAAATATTCAACATCGAACTGGTTAACAATGTATATTGTATAATTTTTTCTGGCATGGAATGCATTATCATATTTTACATTAATTTATATGAGAAAAATTGTTTTGCTTTACGAGTAACATTCTGGAACAAATTATGCTAGTTAAGCGAGGTTCCACTGTACTTACTTTTAAAAATCACATGTAATTTTAAAATACTTTGGAATAATTCACAAATAAATAATTCTTAATGAAAAAAGTGGAGTTTCTTTTGAAAATCAAATTGTCATCATAATTAGGTATGTCCTCAGAATTTCAGCCTTTATCTGAATTAAAAGTGGACGAAATTTGAAGTACTTTAGCAGCATTGAAGAAAAGGTTTTAAGCTCAGAAAATTTCTATGTACCTGAAAACAAAATTTTATCCCTCAAGCTATGTGGGGAATTTGTATAGCAAAAACCAGTCAAACAACTTTCCTTTCAGGCAATTTTGTCTTGAACAGATTAAGTCAATTTCGTGTTTAGAGTTAAACATATCTACATACCAAAGCATGTTACCTGTGATATCTCAAATAAAATAAAAACAGTACTTCACAAACATTTTCGAACCAGAAACAGTTTTTCAGATAAAACAACAAATTTCCAATGGAATGCAACTAAATAAGAACATGACAATTTGAAAGTTCATTCTAATACATGTTTCTTGAAGTCATCCTATTAGGCATGCCATGTATCAACAAGGAGGAATTGACTCTGTCATAGCATGGCAAGCACTAATGGACAATGACCTGTAAATCTCAACAGATGCTACCCAGCTAGTGTGTGCATGCCCAGTAGGATGACTTCAATAAACACGTATTCAAATGAACTTTCAAATCACCATGTTCTTATTTAGTTGCATTCCATCGGAAATTTGCCGTTTCACTTGAAAAAGAACCGTTTCTGGTTCAAAAACATTTGTGAAGTACAGGTATACCTCGCCTTACGTCGGTAATTGGTTCCAGGAGAACGACTTAAGTCGAAAAACGACGTAAGTCGAATTTACTTGTCTCCAAATCTACTTGTCACTAGGCTAAACCATAAATTGCCAATTCCAGTTCTGTATTTTATTTATTAATGCATTTTTAATAATATATGGTTAATAAGGATCTATTTTAAGCTTACAAACAAATTAGTTTTTAATATAGTACAGAAAAAAGTAATCTAAATTTACGAATGCATGTACTGTAAATATAGTACATGTAAATGTATATATTTTAATATGATTTTATGTGCTTTAAACATTTTTCTAGTGATATTACGACTTCAGTATTTGTGGCGGACAGACGTAAAGTCGAATAAAATGACTTAAACTTGATTTTTATTTTTCCATATACTTTTTTGACAAACGACGTATAATCGGGAACGACGTAACACGAAACGACGTAAGTCGAGGTATACCTGTACTGTTTTCTTTGTTCTTTTTGTTTTTTTTTTTTTTATTAGAGTTTCACACTGGTAGCAGGCCTTGGTACATGGATGACTTCACCAAGGTGTTGTTTAGTGTATAGTTATTAGTTAAACACAACATAAAAAGCCTACTTTTGTTAATATCTTTTCATAGTCAGCCAGATGGCTGAGGCAGTTAAGGCCTAAATCTACCACTATCACCCCCTGTATTCACAAACAAGTGTTAGGATGTCTAGAGTTAGTGTTTAGCTCAAAATTCAAAGTTGGTGAATACCAATTTACCATTAACTCAAGATTTAATTCTAACTCGTGTTTGTGAATATGGGGTCAAGGGTACAGAATCAAATCAAAAACGTTGGTTCCATCTGAGATGTCAAGCCTCATTCTTCATTCACTAAGGGCTTGAAAAAATGGTCTTGTTAGTGTCCACAGGACAGAAAATGTAATTAAAAACAAAAACCCTCTCATCATTTCTGGTTACTTAATGATATTGTGTTTTCATTTTTTTACAGCAATCTTGATTACAGTGGAACCTTGCTTAACGAGCACCTTGCATAACAAGCAAAACAAAATTTCAAAAAAAAAAATAGCTTGCATAATGAGTGATGAAAAGAGGGGAAATCGCAGATTGTGCGCATGATCCACCAGTCTGTGTTTAGCACTTGTTCCGCTAGCATCTTAGTGTCGCTTGTGATCAAACATTTTTCCAAACTTGTGTTCACACATATTATGCATAAACATCAACAACCATTTCCATTATATAATAAACACACTAAACGATATGTCAAATTCTTGGGCTATGTAAAGGTTATAATTAAATATTAAAAATAAATTAATTTGACTAGAGGTAGGCAGTTATGCTAGCATCTCACATTAAATTTAATAACCAATTCCAAATTAAATTTGAAAAATATCTTAATTATAAATTAATTAGCGAGGTTGCAGCCAAAGTTTTCAATGCAAAAACGTGAACGCCTGACATTCAGTGCAGCCTCCCTGTAAGCCTAGAAGTTTGACAATGGTGTTTGGAACATCAGTGAAATCATGATCAATGTTCCAAATGCCATTATCAAACTTCTAGGCCAGTGATTCCCAAACTTTTTTGATCCTCCTTTGTTCCATAAAGTTATACCCAACGCTCCCTAACTCATTTTCTCTTGTGTGAGAAAGGATTGGAAATGTTCTTAAGAAAACTTTTCTATGAATCTCACACTTTGTGCCCTTATCGTACATTGTTCTCAACATCTGGAAACCATTAAACGCAATGTTTCCTCTTATCGGTTTAACAGAGGAAAAGGAACGGCTTTCAGTGACCCCAATTTTGCCTTTGGTCACCGTTCAATACCGTGCCTCCAGTGCCCCCTACATTTACTCATCACCCACAAGGGGACGTTATTGCCCACTTTGAGAAACGCTGTTCTAGGCTTACAGAAAGGCTACACTTACATCACTTTTTTTTTTTAAGGAAACACTCATTACAACTGGTCAAAAGAGATGTTTGTAAACAGTAGGAATCCACTAGAACTTTGCAAACAACAAAATATCAAGGTTCAAGCCTCAAATCTATTATCCAAAAACATTTGTTTCACATATGCTTTTTGATTTATCTGGACAACATAAAAATTAACACATTCATCATGTTCTATGTCAGTATAGCATATTTATCATGTTTGATCATAATTTTCTTTCTCAAGCAGCATTGATAACAAATAGAACTAGCCTGAATTAACCCTGCCAGAGCACGAGGCCTACTGGCAAGGTCTTTCTTCATACAAATTATCTTTCAGTTCAAAAATGTAAGTTACCAGCTTATTGGTCATCCTTAAAGTTAGCTTTATTTAATAATATTGTCAAAAATTAATTAGAAAAAGTGATATTGTTACTTATACTTGATATATTAAAGGTTAAAGGTACTTATTTAAAGTTTAAATGCTATACATTAGCATTTTATTCCTAAAATCCTCACTTATATGCATTTTTCAAACATTCTCAGTACATATTTAAATATTTCGATTGAATTCTGAATTTCAAACTTCATAAAAAGACTGAGTTTAATTTTACTTACATTTTGTAGCATTCTCGGGTTCTTGTGAATAACGACCCATCTTCACTTCTCTATTGTAAATAAAATAGTGTAAATATCTACAGTTTCATCTTTACTCGATACTATTGTTAAAATATAGTCTTTTACATTACAAGATTTAAAAATAAATGGTATTATCGTAATATATTCTAAAAATTAATTTGATGGAGACGGATTTACACTCACCAAACGATACCTTTTCCTCGCTGGCTACAAAAATGTCGTCCACTAAAAGAATTAAGTGTTGCCAGACATTGTTCGTATGAAAATTATTTTAAATGTTTTTAATTTCTTAAAATAATACCACTTTTATAAAATAACATCGTTATGTTATATTAAAAATAATTTTAATTTATTTAACTTAAAACAAAATTATAAGTTCACTAATCGATTTATTAATAAGACTGGAAGTACTGTATTCGCATTTTTCACCGGATGCTCTCCCTCTGGTGTTTAAAAACAGAACTATTTTTATCCGGGTCGTTTGAATCATTCTTGTGTATCGTCAACATAATTCCCGTAAAGAATCTAAATAACAATAGAAAAAGAAAGTTCTCTGTTGCGTTCCAAATTGCAATTTTAAAGCCATACGGGAGCCTAATATAAGTTTTCGTATATTTCCACATAAAAAACAGATGATTATTCGGAAATCAGAATAAATATAACAAACCGAAAGACTATGAACAATTAGCAAAAAGTTTCCCGATTGTTCAGCTTTATATGAACAACTTATGCTGTCAATTTTATAAGATTTTTTCCTAATGTTTAAAATGCCAGTAATTTTGTGTGGGACACTGGGTCGGATTTAAGCATTTCGAGGCCCTAAGCTGAACACTGTGTGAGACTCCTTACCAACCCACACTTTTAGAAGTCAATCATAAAAAGAAAAGAATTAACATAAACATATTAATTACTTTTTATTTTGCGTAGTATTTGTTAAGTAATGTGAATTTTATACTGTTATTCTCAACTGATAGGGGAGGGTAACGTCGTTCCGCGCCTTTTTTGGAACCGATTTCCGCCATGCAAACTAGCACAGAAAGCCTGTGCTGGTCGACTGTATTTGTTCGTTCAATTAAACATAGTTTACAGTCAAACAGTGTATCATTATACACAATCTCTTCACTTTTAACAGTATTCAAAGTATGTTTTGTTGATTTGTAAAAAAAATTATTAGAAAATTTGACTTCAATTTTCTTTTTCGTAGAAATTTTTGAGGTCCCTCGAAAATCGAGCCCTAAGCAAAACGCTAGCATTGCTTGCTTGTAAATATGGCCCTGATGGGTCAAAACTAATGCTTTTTTAACACAAAGAGCATGATTGTATAGAACGATCTCTCTCTCATTTGTTTCTGTAATATAAGTAATGACGTGTCCCGCTAGCAATAACTGTTCTATAAATTTCTCAATAAACAGCTACAAGCAGCATGTATCATTATATCGGACTGTAATACTGTACATGATTAATTTTATGTTGACTAGTTACAAGCACGTGCGACTAAATATCCAGATGGCACAACGCGCTGATTGGTCGGCTGAATGACGTCAACCTATTGGAAATGTTGATCAATTACAGTCGACCCCCCTATAACACTGTTGATTTTTCCGTTTTATATGAATTCCATGTTGTACGAGTCACTTAGATTTTACAAATATGTGTGCCGGGCTGTGAACGGCTCACGTATTTGTAAAATCTAAGTGACTCGTACAACATGGAATTCATATAAAACGGAAT